CGGGCAGCTTGGGGTGGGTGGGGAGCATGGAGGGGTGGCGAGGGGAAGAACTCTTCAGGTAACGCTTCTATGGTGGTGTGGTTTGGTCGTAGCGGGGGGAAACTGAGGCACGGAGTGGAAGCGGTGTTGGCGCCATTCGGAGATGGTTTGGGGATGGTTGGATTCAGGCTGACTGGAAGGAAGGAATTGTTCCCTGTGAGGGTGGGGAGGCCCTGGCACAGGGTGCCCAGAGAAGCTGTGGCTGCCCCTGGAAGTGCCCAAGGCCAGGCTGGACATTGGGGCTTGGAGCAGCCTGGGATAGTGGAAGTGTCCCTGCCCTGGGCAGAGTGGGACAAGATGGTCTTTGAAGGTCCCTTCCCACCCAAACCATTCTGATTCTAAAGGACTGGGCTCGGGGCTCTTTCCTGACCCACCATGAGTTTTTCCTGGCCAGCACGACCCCCCTGAAGTTCCAGAAAATCCAGCGCCGCTCCCCGCTTAAGGGCAGAGACAAAACCAGAGCACGAACAGTGCGGGGCCCCTGACTGCCACCAACCCCTTCCCCAAACAACCCCCTGATGATCCCAAATAACCTGTTCCATCGCCGCCTTTTGCTCCCTGCGGCAGAGACGTGCTCCATGGACACCGCCTGCCTGGACGAGGGCAGCGACAGCGCTCAGGAGGCGGCGGAGGAGAAGAACCTGACGGTGCTGGATGGCTCGGCCGGAGATCTGCTCCTCAAGCTCATGCACTTGGCAAACCGGCAGCAGCAGCAGGGCAAGCACCCCCTGCTCTGAGCCAGCCCTTGGGGAGTCCCCCCTGCCCTGCCCCACGCCCCCAGCCCGGCTCTGTACATACGAGACCCAATAAAAGTCCTCGTGCACTGTGGTGGCCTCGTCCTGGGCACTGGGGGTGGCTCGTGGGGCTCCAGGGGCTCAGGATGGGGGTGTTGGAGGATCTCCTGTTCCCAAATCCCCACGGAGGTTTGGCTGGGTTTGGCCCCATCCTTGTGGCTCCCAGGGGAAGGAGCTCAGGCAGAGCTGGGATTTGGGATCTGGCCATCGAGTGTCCCCCAGGAGCCCCAGAGCACCCCCAGGAGAGTGGGGACAGCTGGGATGTGCCACCATCACGTTACCTCGTGGCCGAGCCCCTCTTTGGGGCAGATTCGGGGCCTCGCTGCCTTCAGGAATCAGCACAGCATCTACTAAAAATGATAAAAAGTAAGGAAAAGCACCCAAACCCCCTCAAGAGCAGAGAGGTTTGGAGTTCCAGCTCCAAAGACCCCCTCCAGGGCTCATCTTTCCCCATCCCCTCTGGACACCGACAGGGAGGATCAGTGCCCATTATCCCACAGCCACCCCCCGAAATTTGGGGTACCGTTATCCCAACCCTCTCCCAGCTCTCTTACCCTGCAGGGTCCTTGCTCCGAGTCTCTCCGGGCTGGGACTGGCCACAGCACAGGGGACAGCTCGTCCTTTATACTGTCCCTGAGGGAGGTGGCACCTCCGGGGAGGTGGAGCTCCCTGACACCGGCAGGATCCATCCTGCGGCTCCCCGCACCCCGCAGGGGATGCAGGATTGATCCAGGGTCTGCTTCCCACAGCCAGCCCTTATCCCAGCCCTGGGGAGGGGTCCAACCCCAAAGCACCCCAAAATCATTGGGAAAAGGGTGACACCAGCATGGGGTGGGGGACTCCAATCTGGGATGAGGGATTTGGGCTTTCAGCCTAGCTCCAGCTCTCGGACTTTTCCAAAATGCAGGATGTGAACCCCCAACATTCCTGCAGCACCTGGTGTTTGTGGCTGAGCTGGGAATGCTCCATCAGATGAACACCTCAAAATCAGGCAAAAACAGAGTCCCCAAAAAGCAGCAGGGACCGATAACCAGGTTTCCTCCCCACTTGTCTGCCTGAGACACATCCTGCAGGGCTCTGGGGTGACAATTCCCTCCCTCCACCCTGTGCTGCAGGTGGAGCTGAGCTGCTGGGACAGCACACAGCGGGTGCTGAGCCCCATTTCCACCCCATTCCCATGGATCCCAGTGCCTGCCTCGTGTCCAGGGTCTGGGACTGACCCCGGGTGGGTGACAGGGACCTGGCTGCCCTCGCGCTAAGTGGTGGATTTCGAAGCAAGGCAGAGGGACAGGAAAAGGTCACGGCTGTCCGGCTCTGGGCTGCCTAATTCCCAATTATGCCAGTGCAGGGTAATGATCTCAGTGGATGTCAAGTTTTGTCTTCAGCAGGGAAATTTATTCAAGCTGGGGAGCTCCTAATTGGGATAAGGAAGGCAAAGGGCTGGGGTGAGCAGGACCTTGGGCAGTTGCGTCAGCCTTTGGACTCATCCTCGGCGCTGCTTCTCGGGGAGGAGGGGTGTTTTGTCTGCTGGTGATGTGGCTCAGGACACCACATTCAATCCCTGTGTGCACCTCCAAGGAGAAGCAGTGGGGAAATTTGGGATTTTAGGCTTTTTCCCAGGAGGTTTGGTGTTCTCACGTGGCTGTTGGATGAACACGGGTGAGTGGACGGGTGTCATCATCGTCCCAGAGCGGGATGAGCCCAGTGCTGAGCCCCAAAGGCCAGGCACAGAGGGGTGGACAGGGCCAACATTCCCCACCCCAGATCCCATGGATGATCCCAGAGGACAGGGCATCGCTTCCTCCCACCCAGAGGGATTTGAAGCCAAGGGAAGCACACACCCCTCTCACCCCGCTCCTGGGTGGACACATCCCACCTGCAGCTGCCTTCCTTCATCCCTACCCTCTCCGTGCCAGAGAGGTTCCCAACGGGACACACCACACCTCAGCAGCCTCAAGTGGCCAGTGGAGAGGGGCCCCAAGCCCCAGACTCCATCCACAACCTCCACACGTTCATCCTGCTCCATCCACAACCTCCACACGTTCATCCTGCTCCATCCACAACCTCCACACGTTCATCCTGCTCCATCCACAACCTCCACACGTCCCCGTCACCGCCGGACTCATCACGGAGGAGAAAACCAACACCTTGTCCTTGACCTCACGTCCTCGACCTCTGGCTATTAGCTGAGCCCTCTGCTGTGGGAAGCAATGCCTTGTGGTTTTTAAGGAACACGGGTGACGCCGGTGCCAGAATCCCTAAGCAGGAGCCAGGACTATAAAAACAGGGCCAGCGGTTGGGATGAGCAGCCAAAAATCCCCCGTCCCGCCGCTATGTCCTGCAAGGCTCTGGCCCTCTGCCTCCTGGGGCTCCTGGCTCTCTCCTCCGCTTGCTACATCCAGAACTGCCCCATCGGGGGCAAACGCGCTGTGCTGGACATGGACATCAGGAAGGTGGGTCCTGGAGGGCTCGGAGCACTCCCAACCCCATCCTTCCCTTCTCCCAACCTTCTTCCCCCCTGTTCCCCCGAGCAGTGCCTGCCCTGCGGTCCCCGGAACAAGGGCCACTGCTTCGGGCCCAACATCTGCTGCGGGGAGGAGCTGGGCTGCTACATCGGCACCTCGGAAACGCTGCGCTGCCAGGAGGAAAACTTCCTACCCACCCCCTGCGAGTCGGGACACAAAGCCTGCGGCTCCGGAGGGAGCTGCGCCGCTCCCGGCATCTGCTGCAGCACCGGTGAGCGCGGCACGGCATCCCGGGGTTCCTGCATGAGCCCCCGCACAGCCGGGAGGGGATTCAGGCTTTTACAGAGCAGGGGGAGAGGGGAGGGTGCCCAAGGGATTGTCCGTGTCCCACGCGTGTACCCACCCATGGCTGTGACAAACGGAGCACGCTCCATGCCCTATCCAGACCCCAGGGGAAGGGATGAGACCGCGAGGGGTTGGGGTGGGAGGGAAGCAGGGACCAACAAATTATGGGGGCCGAGCAAGTGCAAGACCCACATTCCCTCCTGCTCCCGTTTTTCTCAAAATTCCACCCTCCTCCCTGAATCGAACTACCAGAAATCCTGCTATAAATCCCGGGAAGCATCAGAGAATGGAGTGAACATGAGCTCACTAAACCCCAGTGCCAGGGGGTCCCTGGGGGCTGGTTTTGGGGGTATCTGGGGGTTGTTTTTGGGGTTCTCTGGGGGTTGTTTTTGGGGGTCCCTGGGGCTGGTTCAGAGATCTCTGGGGGCTGTTTTTGGGGATTTCTGGGGGCTGGTTCAGAGATCTCTGGGGGCTGTTTTTGGGGGTCTCTGGGGGCTGGTTCAGGGATCTCTGGGGCCCATTTTTGGGGGTCCCTGGGGTCTGGTTGGTGCTGCCTGGTTTCACACCACACTCCCCCCTCTCTCCCCTCAGAGGGCTGTGGCACTGACTCGTCCTGTGACCAGGAGATGCTGTTTGTGTAGCCCACCCGGCAGAGAATCCACAGGATCCCACATCCATCACTGTCCCAGCCCCAGCCCAGGCTGTGACTCAGACTGAAGTGATGAGCTTCATTAGAAATAAAACTTGGACAGAAAAACCACCCAGACAGAACTCTGTGAGTTTTGTGTGCTCGCCTGGTTGAGGGGCAGGCTCGGGAGAAGACACTTTTAGGGAAAAGTGGAGGTAAAAAATGAGGATTTCAGGTCAATTAACTGAGGGAGGGAGGGGGACCTGCAGACCATGGCTGAACCACAGCACACTCCATGCTCAACGCTGGGCAGCCCAAAACCAGATTATTTTAGGACAAGGCTGACAGCCTGCAAGACCCCAATGACCCAGAACACCCACAGTCATTATCATTTTTTTCTACACCTTCAGCTCCAGGTGATGAATAAATAAAGCCTGAAGGGAGGAATAAGGAGACACCAGAAATCCTGGATCATTCAGACATTTTCTTATTCAGCCACACCAAGAGATGTGCAAAGGACGGTTTAAAATGTGAATTACAATTAATTCCTTCCCCCAACAACAAAAAAAGGGAAGGTCAGTGTTTCCCACAAATTCATTCAGCCCTCGTTTGCCTTTGGAAGCATCCAGAGGAGCTGACAGCAGGGAGCTCAGAGCCAGGCTCTGTCTCAGGACCGCTCCTGCTCCTCCCCACATGCTGTGTGAAGGCAGGAGGGATCCAAACACGTGGGAGGTGGGATCACAGGCACAGCAACAGGGCTGAGCCAGGCTGCTGGAGCCTCCAAGTTTCCCCTCACCCCCCCTCTCCCGCAGGCATTAACCCTTTGGTAGCAGCACAGCCAGATCCGTGGCCCTTCTCCACCACTCCTGTTGTGGATTTATACATTCAAAGAAGGATCTGTGTTGTCTGGGGGGGCCCCTGGACACAAGCCAGGCCAGGAGCCCCATGCCAGGGCTGCTAGGACAGCACCGTGCGTTTGACGATCCGCCCGTCCTTGTCGATGGCGAAGTTGTAGTTGCGTGGGTTGTCCAGGCACTCCTCGATCCGTGCCTCCAGGTTCTCGGGGGTGATGAAGTTTTTGGCTTCCTCCTGAACCAAAGGACAAGGATTATCCCCTTAGGATTATCCCACCCTGTTCCCAGAGTTCTGGCTCGAGCTGTCTCCCATCCACGCGCTGTCAACACCCCTGGAAGGTGCCGACGCTTGCGTTCCCAGCTGCCAACTGAAAAATCTGTGGAAAACAAGCCCACGGCTTCCACATGGCTCCCTGGCAGGGAATTCTGGCAGCCTGGTTCCCAGGAGGCACCAGCTGCTCTTACCTGCAGCTGGAGAACCTCCTTCTCCTTCTCCTCCAGGAAAGCCTCCATTTTCCTGGCCCGTTTCTCCGCAATCTCTAACTTCCTCCTCTTCTGCTCCTCCTCTTCTTTCCTGAATCTCTCCTCTCTGCCAGACAGAAAGGAAAATCTGATGGATGAGGTGACACATCCCACCCACAGGAGAGCAGGAGGCTGCCCAGAGCACCTTGACTTTGCCCTCAGCAGCAAAAGGCACAGGAACCACAATAGCTGCACAGACAGATTTATTTTAAAAGGTCAGGATTTCCCAGAATCACAGAATCAATTAGGGTGGAAAAGGCTGCGTCCTCTTGTCCTCTGCTCCCAGGGAGCAGATCCTGACCCATCCTGGCTGCACCCCCCTGTCAGGAAGTTGTGGAGAATGACAAGGTCTCCCTTGAGCCCCCTTTTGCCCAGGCTGAGCCCCCCCAGTTGCTCCTACCAGGACTTGTGTCCCAGACCCTTCCCCAGCTTTGTTGCTTTTCACTGGACATTCTCCAGTATCTCAACATCCATCCTAAACTGAGGGGCCCAGAACTGGACACAGCATTTGAGGTGTGGCCTCACCAGGGGAAGAATCCCTTCCCTGCTCCTGCTGGCCACACCATTCCCAATCCAGGCCAGGAGCCATTGGCTTTCTTGGCCACCTGGGCACTCTGCTGGCTCATGCCCACCCTGCTGTCCATCCATGCCCCAGGTCTCTTTCTGCCTGGCTGCTGTCCAGCCACTCTGTCCCCAGCCTGGAGCACGCAGGGGTTGTTGTGCCCAAAGTGCAGGACCCCACACTTGGTGTTGTTAAACTTCAAATCCTTGGGTTCAGCCCCTGGGTCCAGCCTGTGCAGGTCCCTGTGCAGAGCCCTCCTGCCCTGCAGCAGATCCACACACCCAGCTTGGTGTCATCTGCGAATGTGCTAATGGTGAACTTGATCCTCTCACCCAGATCATCAACAAAGACGCTAAACAGGGCTGGGCCCAGCCCTGATCCCTGGGGACACCACTGGTGACTGGATGTGACCATTCCCCACCAGTCTCTGGGCCTGGCCATGAACCAGCTCCTAACCCAGCCCCTAACCCAGCCCAGACTGACCCTGCCCAAGCTCCTCTGTAAATATTAGACCAGACTGTGAGTTCATTTCTGCCTGAGCAGAAGTCACAGCCGGGCAGGGCAGCGTCTCCCTGGCCCTGCTGACCTGCGTGCCCGCTGCCGGGCGTTCTCCTCGTCGTTCCAGGCCATCAGGCGCCGGTGCTCCTCCAGCTCCTCCACGGAGCCCTCGGCAGCCAGGCGCTCCTCCTGCTTCTTCTGCAGCACCTCAGCCCTGAACTCTGCCCTGTCAGGAGCAGGGGAGGGCATTGAGCTCCTGCCCCACAACCCTGTCCCACAGTGCCCCCAGTCCCAGCACCCTGAACCTCCCCAGTCCCACCACCCTGACTCTCCCCTGCCCCTTATCAGTCCAAGCCCCACCACCCTCCCCTACCCCCTGGTGTCCCAGGATC